GTAGCTTTTATTAAAAAACGCCAATGGTGGCAGCCCTGGTAATCTGGGAAAATATGARTTGTTATACARCACTAGAGTACAGTGAATAGATCGCGCAACRATGTTGAGAATTTACTCACGCTTTTATTGCAAAATTGCAATACAAGCTAGTCAAATTCCTAAACATAATAAACTAGATTTTACGCAGCTAAGTCATCCCACAAAAGTGCCACAGACTCCAGTGCCAGCGGCTTTTCCTGACACCAGCAAAAACCCCATCGAAATCGACACAAATACAATTAAATTGCTGGAACGTTTATCTCTGGTGGATCTGGACAGTGATCAGGCGCTAGACACGCTGAAGAGCAGCATACAATTTGCAGATAAAATAGCGAACATCAATACGGACAACGTGCAACCGCTGTATACAGTGCTGGAGCATCAGCAGCTGCAATTACGCAACGACCAGGTGACAGCCGGCAATTGCCGAGAGGAGCTGCTGCGCTGCGCCAAGCGAACCGACGAGGATTACTACGTGTCGCCGCCAGGCAACATTCCATTGGAACAGTAATTACCATGTCCACCCGCCTCAGCCGCTGTCTTAAACATCTAGAAGCCGCCGGCTTTTTTCGCTGCTCGCATGACGCACTTACTCCACATATAGAGCTTCTGACCCATGGCTCTGCCTATGCCCAGCAGCTACAGCAGCATTGGCTCCGCATGCGCCCCTTGGCTGTTAATTTGGGCAGCAATTCCTCTACCGATGCATTGTGTCTCTCACGTTTTGGCTTTGTGCACTCGCAACTCTTCCGGCAGCACTTTCGACAGCTGCTGGAACTGCATCCCAGCAAAGCAAAGTGTCCCACGCTTTTGAAGCAGCAACGCGCCGGCGAGACACAGCAAAGTCAATCTATTTTCCAGCCTGCCCAGTCCGTCACGCATTTGATCACCGATTTCTTTGTGGAGCCGCATCGTGGCTTGGAGCACTTTTACAATGTGCAGCGCGAGAGCAAGATCTGGTGGATGCGCTATTCCTCGAATCCCAGTCGCTATGCCATTGTCGCTCAAGCCAAGCTGGAGAAACCAGCTGGCTGCCAGGCCATCGATATTCGCGCTTCCTTTGGCGCAGCCGGGGATGTGACGGTGGAGCAGCTGAGCTTGGTGCAGTTGCCAGCTGAGAGTGAGGACTTTCAGCTGCCAGACGCACGCACTGGTGCTCCACTATTGCCCGCTGTGATACGTTCGGTGATTGAGCTGGAGCCCGCCAGCTGCGCCCTGCTGCTGGATGGCTGTGATCATGGTCGAGAGGCACGTTCGCTGCTCCTCAATCGAGTGCTGGCACCCTATCAATGCGCCATTGCCGGCATACAAAAGACGGAGCAAATTCGATCCGTGGATCTGCAAGATCTATGCGCCCACGTCACAGATGTGCTGCTGCGTGCCAAGCTGAGGCTGCAGCAGGAAGGATATGCGCTAGCGGCGAATGCCAAACAGTTGACACAACAGCTAGAGACGTACGATCGCCTGGGCGTGCCCTATGCCCTGCTCCTGGACGAGCAGCAAACACTAAGCAACGGATTGCTGCAGTTGCGCAGCCGGGACACACAGCTGGCGGAGACAGTGCACATTAGCGACTTACCTGACTATTTGTTAAATATATTTAGAGACTATTAATTATGTAATAATATTATTATGCTAGATTTACTGTCTGTACTTTCTATATTGTTATATACCATCCGGTCAAAATTCGTGCGTAGGCAGACTGGACTGTTAGTATAATATATTTCCATAAATAGTTACATAAAGTCGCATAGATACTGGCGCACATTGAAGCCCACCACTTTGCCAATGTGGACGACGAAGTCCAGGCCGACGGTGCACTGCAGCTTGGCGGAGCCATCCATGATATTTTGTTCGCCAGAGACAAAGCTGAGCAGCTTCAAGTGCACCAGCGTGGAGATCTGCGAGAGTAGATTGCAGGTGAGGCCCACCTTCTCATCGAGTATGGCATAGAAAATGGCTAGCAGGCGATCAATGCTAAAGGATTTGGGGCCCAGGGTCGTGGACATCTTGTCGACATTCTGAAAAATCGGAGCAGACATTAGAGAATGATTAAAATTGATCTTAGCTATTATCTACCTTGGCTCTGGCATTGACCGTTTGCATGCGCTTGCGTTGCTTGCCATGATGCTTGACGAACAGACGCTTGTCCTGCTTGGCGGAGTTGTGGCTGGCGAGGAATGCAGCGATAAGCAGAAATTTTCCATAATAGGGTAACTCCAGTGATTGGGCCAGCTTGCGCACACTCTGATCCTCAACGGCCGGCTCGCCGAGCGGCTTATCTATGCGCATATAGATCTGCGTAAGGGCGGCACGCAGTGGCCCAGCTATGTGCCGCCAGAGACGCGACACATCCGTGCACTCCACACTGCCATCCAGCACGGGCTGCAAATAGATGGCAAAACACTTGCGAGCCGTCAACTGCAGCTCGGGCACATCACGGCAGGCCTTGTAAAAGACGCTCAGAAAGAGATTCAAATAGTTGCTATAGAAATCGGGAGTCAGCGCCTGTTCAGCCAGTTGCAGTTGATCTTCCTTCATTTGTTGCAGCATTTGTCGCCGCATCTGGTCAAAGTCGCTGCTGAGTATGCGCAACGTTTCTGCCTTGTTGTATTGTGCCAGATGGAGACTGATGATCTCGGTGAGACCCGTCTTATTGTAGTACTTTTCGAAGGGCAGTTGCGAGAGCAGCAGCACGCACAGATTGAGACCTGTTAACTGCTGCAGGCGCAACAGCACTGGCAGCACATTTGCATCCATGTCGCGCAGTCGTTCCGCATTGTCGACAGCTATGAGAAATCCTCGAGCATTGCTTCCATGCCAACGACGCAGTTGCTCTACAAATTCCAACATATTATCCGCACGCAAAGACTCTGTACCCATCTGCTGCTCCGAATGTTCTTGGGACAGTGAATCCAGGATATTCTCGAGCAATATTTTTGTTGTATAGCATTCGATGGCATTCAGCTGGGCAGTTCGGACCTTTTGCTGCTGTTGACATTGCTGAAGGAAGGCTTTGGTCAGCGAGGTTTTGCCGGTCCCGCTGTGTCCGTATATATAAATAGCTGGTGGATATGTCTCATTGCAGTCGCCAATTAGCTCAGCTAATGTGCTTATTGCCGATTCACGACAAGGAAATTGCGGCTCTAATGCAGCGCAAATGTTTTCCATTTGCTTAGATTCTATCAACTGTGGCCAGCTGCCGGCATTGCGCGCCAAATTCAAGGGATGCATTAAAAGCTGTATTACGATACCACTTTTCGATGAATGCCTTATTGCTATCAACAATCGGTAACTATTCAAAATGAGTAAATTCAAATTTTTAGTTTGCCGGTTTTCGCGTATTTAATTGAAAAACTAAGTTTAATTGAACAAAAATATTTGCTTAACACAACTGAATGTTAAATACATTTGACAATCATATATTTAGCTGTCAATGTATGTTGAAGCCGAAAAATCTTGGTAGCTTACCGAGATTGTACAACACTTTTCATATGCATTGAACGATTCAGCCCTAGACGGCAGCAGTCAAACAGTTCACATCCAGGCATACATATGTATGTACAGACGTCGCGCGCAGCTCAGCAACATTGTGTTTTGTGTATGAAAACTAAATGCGAATTATATTGCAAACGCTGCAATAATTTATTGTAAACAATCAGTTCTGTGTAGTATATTGTTGCAAAGCGTCGCGCCTTTACATATATATATTTAGAGTTAGAAGTTGTGCCGCCTCTGTGTATGTGTAAATGTATGTGTGTGACTGCGTATGTGCGTTAGGATAACTGCACATTTACATTTGCGCAGCGAATTTAAACGGAAAGGAACAGTTACTGCGAATATCAACAGAAGACGGAATTGAAACAAACAACATGGCTCGGGACACACAAGGCACACAGGGCACCCAGAGCCAAGCGTCCAATATTTGGACCCAGGTAGAGAGCCAGCCCATGGAAAAAATTGTTTGGGGCCGGCTCTATGGAAAGAATATTAAAATCAAGTCTCTCGGTACGAGCGTCAAGTCATACAGAATAATCTATACGCATTCGTCCTTTAGTGTTGGTAACTGTTAATTGCAACATTTAAATGTTTTTTTTTTATTTATATATTACTTATTTATACATGTGTATATTTATAATTTGGTTGTTGATAATTTAATGCACATTAAGTTTGCAAAGGTGTATATGTATGTATTTGTATACGTTATGTACATGCATACATACATAAACATATGTGTCGGTGTGTATGTGTTTATCTCCTGATATGCTTGCTTTGTAAACGGGAATCTATTTGGAACTGGCAACTCTTATTAGATTTGTGTAACGAAACGTTACATTTGAATTCAACGATTTCGTCTGCAATTCTCATGAATTCAACGTCTGCTTATGTTATGTTGTTTAAATTCTAAGTAAAGTGCGTATGTATGTGATCTTTAAAAATGAAATCTATGTTAAGCTCTTTTGCTGTATACCTCTCTGTGTGTATATCGCTCGACGCGCTATTGTTTCTTTCTCTTACGGCCTGTTTTTCATTGGTTCGCTGGCGGTATGTCTCTCTCTTCTCTTCTATCTACATCAATTTATCCCGTCTCTTTCGCACTCTGTGTGTTTTTTCTCTCTTTGGTAGCCTGTCTCTCACGGTTTATCCATTCTATTAATCTCTCGTTTTTTCTCCCTCTGATAACGATTAGCTAAAAAAAACATCTTGCTTATAAACAGGTAGCAGAGTATTTCTTAGTCGTTCACTTTCTCACATGTGATATTTCTATAACTGCTTCTTTTCGTTTCTTATTAGACTTGAATAACGACGAATTTTCAGCTGGTCGCGGTGAGCTGAATGATTTAATATTGACGCTCAATGATTTACCTGAGAAAATTCTATCGCGCATATCCAAGGTGCATTTTATCATAAAGCGCGCTAACTGTGAGCTGACAAATCCGGTTTATATACAGGTAAGCAACACGAAGAGTGCGCCCGAAAATAATTTTGAACTACATTGAATTCGATTGAATTTGCAACCCTCCCCTTTCAAGGATCTCTCACGCAACGGAACATTTGTGAATGGCGAAAAAATTGGGACGAACAAAACGCGCATCTTACAAAATGACGACATCATCGCTCTCTCTCATCCCACCTATAAAGGTGAGTCCTGCAGAGTTTTGCAGAAATCCGAGCAGAATATGGAAATTTCTGCACCTGCAACATTTTCCTTTGTTTTTCAGCGTTTGTCTTCAAGGATCTTAGCCCAAACGAAGCGATTGGCCTGCCACCTGAAATCACGTCCACCTATTATATAAATCGTAAACTGGGCTCAGGTGCGTATGGCTTGGTGCGGCTCGTCTATGATCGTCGCACCTGTGAGCAGTTCGCCATGAAAATCGTGAAGAAGAATATGCTGGAGGTGAGCGCGCATCCGAACACTAATCTGAACGATCCGGAACGTGTGCTCAACGAGGCAAAGATCATGAAGAATCTATCGCATCCGTGCGTGGTGCGCATGCACGATATTGTAGACAGGCCGGACTCCGTTTATATGGTGCTGGAATTTATGCGCGGCGGAGACTTACTAAATCGCATCATTAGCAAGAAGCTGCTCAGCGAGGAGACATCCAAGTTGTATTTCTATCAAATGTGCCATGCAGTCAAATACCTGCATGATAAAGGTATGCTCGTTCTATTGATATTGATATTGATATTGACAATTCGTTAATATTCGCTTTCTTCCAGGCATCACGCATCGCGATCTGAAGCCGGACAATGTGCTGCTTGAGTCCAGCGATGAGGATACTTTGCTCAAAGTATCCGATTTTGGATTAAGCAAATTTGTGCACAAGGATTCAGTGATGCGTACGCTATGCGGCACGCCTCTTTATGTAGCACCCGAGGTGCTAATCACAGGAGGACGTGAATCCTATACTCAGAAAGTGGACATTTGGAGTCTGGGAGTGGTGTTGTACACATGGTATATTTAATATATATAAGTTGTCATACCATTTCGAGATCTAAGGCGTATCTGTTTACAGTCTAAGTGGCACTTTACCCTTTTCGGATGAGTACGGCTCGCCGGCTGGTGAGCAGATCAAGAAGGGAATTTTCCGCTTTCGCCATCCCGCCTGGCAGGGCATCTCGCAGCGCGCCAAGTTGTTGATCAAACAGATGCTCATTGTGGATCCCGAGAAGCGACCCTCAATTGATGCTGTGCTCAAGAGCACCTGGTTAAGGGATACAACGATGCTGCAGAAGGCGAAGCAAATGATGAAACTGGATCAAATGGAGATCGAGGAGGAGGAAAACAATTTCCTTGAGCCGCCAACCAAACGGCGACGGCACTAAGCAAAACGCGAACTGAATGTGAAAAAGTTTTAATTTTCTGGAAAAATTAATCGAAAACATTTTTCCCCCCATTTCTCATCCCGCAAAAAAGCTGCCATAGCTGCCTATCAATCACACTCCTACATATAAGAATTATTGAAAAAGTATTGCTTTTTTTACTGCGGTTGTTTAATTTTACATGTTGTTTAGTGTAAGTTTTGCATTTGCGTCTTTTGTTAAACGTTGTGTGCCAAAAGGAAATCAAAGGTGAACAAGAATGAATCACAAATCTTGAATTGATTATTACAATTTATTGACGCAATTATAATTTAAATATAATAATGATATTAAATGTAAATAGTTAAGTGAGCTGAACTTGTGGTTGTTTTATTGGAGCTTGTGAATTTGAACTTTTATAATAATTCAATGTTTAGTTGACCACACGATTCTCTTGATTCAATTTGAATATCTAAACTGATATGTGTTGTTATATAAAATATATTTAAAAACTCACTGTAGACATAGATTCTGAATGAATTATGAATTGTTTCCCAATTTTTATTACACTGAAATACAAGGATTAATTCAGTTAAAGATGGTTTGAAGGAAAACTCCATAGATTCAGGAATTTACTATATGAATTCTATTTACATAGGTATATACGTATTATATATACAAATATTGTTAACCAAGCCATATATACATTGCTTTTATAGAATAAATATTAATTAGATTTATTATTCATATTCAAAAGCTATCGTCTATATCTTATGTGTTGCCATTTTTCGTCCATGGCCAATGGTCAGCAGCGTGTGATCATCTCGCCAAATGGCATCCGTGAGACGGTCGTGCGTATTCTCATTGGTGTAGATAACATCATGTGCCTCTGTCACCTTGGCTATCTTTACTCCAGCTGGCAGATTGCTCATGACCGCCAGATGGGAGCTGTAAAAGAGAAGCAAATGTAGTTCTTCAGCTAATAAAGTTGTTGCTACTCCTCGCCTACCCATTCACTAGCAGCTGTGAGACATGAGCCTCATCGAAATAGGATATAGTTTGTTGAAGCTTGCGTGGCACTCGTATATCCAGCGTATGGACATTGCCATCATAGTCCCCCAGATGGACATAATTGTCGCCTTGGAGCTCAGTGGGCGCTGCCCAAGCGGCACAGGTGAAGCTAAGCAAATGCGTCTTATCATCATAGAGACACATGGAGGTGGGCGATGAAGCACGTATGTCCCACAAGCGTGCACAGCCACCGCGATCACAGGTGACCAATTGGCTAGCAGCTGTGGCTGAAGTAGCCAATCCTGTTATTTTCGAGTTATGAGCGCAACGCGCACGATACGTGCTGCATAAATCGGCGCCAGAAATATCCCAGACCTGCAACCAAATCGTATGTAGGAAATATAAGCATAAGGATATAGTTATTAGTATATACTCACATTGAGCGCATTATCCAGGCAGGTGGTCACTGCGTGCTGTGGCTGAGATTTGATCACGCTGAGCTGATTAATGGGCGCCTTGTGTGCGTCACTTTCGCCAATGAGAAACAGACAATATGGCGTCTCTGGATTGCGCACCGTGGAATATGTCGACCAGGCCTGCAGCCGCGTATCACCCAACGCTACGAGCAGTATATTGTTATCAGCATAGCGTAGAATGTTCACAGTCGAGTCGCATTGCAACTTGAAGTCCGCATTGTCAACGGTCATGTGGTCCGTTTGATTGTAGCCGAAGAGCATGCCCCACCATTGGCTACCCTCTCGATGGTTTGTGGCCAATGCAAAATGCTGCTGTTCATTCATTGTAATGCTGTCGAAGCAGTCGAGCAGTCTGGGTGACAGGTTCTCCAGCCGGGCATTCATATCCGCAACATTGAGATTGGGATAGTCCACATTGTTGGCCAATTCAATGGCCGGTGGTGGCTGGTGGGAGGTGGGTGTGCGATATGTTACCGAGCTTCTTTGTGGAAACATCTTAAATGTGCAGAATCAAAATTTAAACAACAATGCAACGCGTGCCGGCAAAACACGAAGGAAACCAATGAACAGTGTTGAGCAATACTTATTTTTAATCATTTAACTTTATTTGAATATTGATATTACAAAAAATATATATCGATACATTTTCGTGGTGTTTTAAGCCGTTAAGTGTGCGCTGGCAAGAAAAATGACTTTTGCCTGTACAAATTATATAAAATAATAAAATTCAAGTTTAGATACAAACATTCAACATATTACACATTTTTAATAAAATCAAATATAGTTAATACATCGTTCATTACTTATCTATATTTATTATTTTATATGTTCCATAATAATTTAAATGTTTTAAAAATTATCTAAAGTAAACAATATTTTTTGGCATTTTTAAATTAAATTTATTCCAAATTATTCACAATATCATCAGCTAAAACATATGAATTTAATTTCCACGTCGTCTTAAATACACAGAATGGCAAGTAGATTTTGAGCATTTTATAGCACTGTTTACTCAAACGAAATACTCATTGCCCAAGCTACTCGTATCGGTTGCTGATATTTCGAGTACAAGCGTAACATAACATTAACAGTAAACAAAGCGTACGCCAACGCGAAAGACGTGTTTACTCCGCGCAGCTGTATAGAAAATTCATTTTTTACGTCGAATTGACAACAACTACGCACATTTGCAAATTGAACAAAAGCAGCGCACAATGACAAAGCGTATAGATGAAATGCAATCCAGTTATCCTTTGACAAAGCACAAATGAACCAAAGATACTTATATAAGGGCGCAGAACTTTCACGAAACTATCACACAGAAAATATAAGGGAACATCAAACAACAACAAACAGAACGAACAACATGCAAAACGCCAAAGCCCCAAAATAAATGAACAGAGGCACGCGAAAATAACTGCATCAGTGCAATTGCTAGGCTATTATGCAAACAATTGCTTCAAATTCAAATACACATAACTAACGTGCCTTCAAAGAACAAAGAAATTAAGAAATAATCGAAACTAAGCTCAATTAAGCGAATCGATTAGTGTGACGCGTAGCAGAAGTCAAGTGTTTTGGTTAATATTATTAACTTTTATTGAAATCAACATGGACACGGGCAGCGTTATGGATCTTTATGCTATTTATTTGTTTCGACCCGGAAGCTCGCCCGTTGATTGGTGCGAGGGCAATTATTTAATATCTTCAAATATTGCAGAGTTCGTCAACACGGTGCGTATGTATAAAGATATATGTTTGTATGCATGTGTCCCGTTATATGGCAGTCATAATTTTACACTGCATATGCAGAAAGAGATTCACCCCCACACACCCATTCACACCCTCACCCTCACACACTTACACACTTACAGCCTGCTATAAAGGCCTTGACCTTTTCGCATACATGTGAAAGCTTCTCACACAGACGCATGCTGAATGTAAACAACGCAAAGATGCTCTTAGCAAACACTTGTCAACACTTGCAGCTACAGTTATTTGCACACATACACACATACTTAGCTGCCACAAGTGCGACCATTGAGCATAATTGAAATTATTCACGAAGATGTGAAATTCTAGTGTGAAACTGATAATGTAAAATCGTATGCATGTGTCTCGTCTCAATTAGAAGCTGTTTTTAGCATTATTTCTTTAACCAAATGTATAATTGAACAAAGTACTATTAGTTACAGTAGATTTGTTATTACATTTTCTTATCTCTGTTTCGAATTCAATTTCTTGAACTAATTATTTATCACAAACAAAAACTCAAAGTTCATGCGTGAAACGCTGATTCCTTTGTATAGACACGAATCAAAGTACGTGTGTACTCATATTATTTGTCACTGATTTTCCCGGTTTATGCTATCAACTAATGTTTAACTTCATTTTGTTTTGGTCAGCGTAATCAAGACTTTTAAGAGTATACAACATATTTTATAATGTATATAAAGTAAATACATACAAAAACCAAACTGTAATCCCCGTGCCGGATACGAGAGAAATTCTGTTTCGTGAAGAAATTTGGTTGATATTCTAATGAATATAAAAAGTAAAGGGAATTTGTAACCTGATTAACATGAGAAACACAGAGATTATTATATATGTAGATAGGTCACTAGATTAGTCCATACCAGAATAGCTTTTTATAATCACTGAGATTGGCCGCATGATTCGAATTTTGATATTTAAAACTTAAGCTATAAAATATAACAAAAATGTAAATGTACAAAAAAATATGAAAATTACCATTTTTAATGTTATGTATTCTGAATATTAAAAGGATAGTCGTAAAAATTTATATTTAAATATTTTATATATCCTAAGATTATTTTTTTAAAGCAGAAACATCTGTTTATTTCCCTTCCCATTATAAATTTTACCCTTCAATTTGATCTAATAGGGCTGATATGTATATAAAATGTGATTGATGGACACAGATTTCCCACACAATATATTATAATATCAATCAATAAATGTGAAGTCTTTCAGATAGTGCAGGGTATAGATATACATATATCTCATATATATTACTTCATATCGCTGTATATCTACTAAAACAAATAGAATTTTTGTAATTATCCAAATGGTAGTTTCAAGTGTCATTATCATTGTTATTGCATTGCTAAGTGTGAGTTAGGTCTAATTATATGCGATACTAATGCTAATAACAAACCTGTGGTAATGAATGAAACTCTTGACTTTTTCATTATTCTAAGTAATGGCTAAATGTTTCTTATTTTGATATATCATATAATATTCTGTATATTTTCTGTTTCTGCTGCAATTTTTTTACAATACTTTGTCATTTAATTGGGCTTGCGCTCAAGTGCAATAAGTTAATTAACTACCTCAGGGCTGTTCACATATCCTATATAGTATATACCATATCGCATGGTCATAAAATGAACACCAGAATGTGTTGATTTCAGATACAACAAAATATCCATGTATTATATAAATATCAAGACAGCTTCGCCTAGCCTCAGCTCATTCTGGCCTTTAGTGTTGTTAAATATATTTTTTTAAATACAAAATTGTGTACTATTTGTCTCCTTCTGCTTCCTATACACAATTTAAAATTTGTTTAATTATGCTTTTGCCTGATAATTTATTCTTGTCATTCTTTGTTCTCGTGCTTCGGGTGAAAACTTGTTCAGATGACACGAACTGAAAATTGCTTTGTTTGTTTTGTGTGAAGTGTTAAATATGTGGAACAAATTGCATGACAAACTGTTTGTCACACTTACATGGACATGCACAAGCATATATAAAAACATTCATATAAAAATATATATATGTATATATATTTA